TGTGCAATTTGGGAGTCTTTTAGATAGTCCCACTGAAGGGGTCCTCCAATTGCCTCACCCTGCATCCCTGTTCAGCATGGAAGAAACCAGAGCAGTCTGTGTCCAGATTCCCTATCTGCAAGTTGAGTAACCTCTTCAGAGGATGGTGTGATAAGAATAGGAGGTAGGAATCGGCTAGGCAGTTAGGGTAAAAAGACCCCAAAGCAAAGTAGTCAGTTTGTGCGCTAAAAGTCAAAATGTCCTCGGGCCTCTTATCAACATCCTCTGTTCCAAAGGCGAAAAATGTCAAAAGTATTTGGGAGTTTGTATCTAATCCTTAAAAGATTTTAGGGTCACCTCTTCAGCATTGGTAATGTTAGAGCAGCCAAAGCCCCATAAAAATAAATAAATCAATCAAAGAAGAAAAGAAAAAGAAAATGGTGCGCTTGTGATTGTTTCTGTGTCATTCCTAAAACCTGTGAGGAATTCTCGTAGGTAGCAATGTCTTACTTCCTGTAGTCGTTATTTTGAATAGCTTCGATGTTTATTGTGTGATCTCAGACACCTTACTATCAAATTGGAGGACTATGCTCCCATTTCCAAACATGTGCACGGTGTTATAGCATGCTTACAAGCAGCATATGTTCAAGGAAAGCTTGTTAAGTTGGATGACTCCCAGCGACCTTTATCAGAGCAGAGCTCCTCTTGACTGACCACCCCTTGCTGTCTTCCTTCATGGTGCCTCACTGCACAGCCTCTTTGGCAGTAACTGATCAATTGATTCATTCATTGTAATCATTTAATACCCATTTTCCTAAAAGGTTCTCAAAAAACAGCAAGTGTGCATATCTTACAATTTTTGCAGCTTGGGCAGTGCCCATGAGGCTCTCGGGAACTATTTTATATATGGCTAAAAATGCTGAGCTTCTGTCATCTTCATAGTTATAGAAACCAAAATGTTACTCCACAGCCCCATGAAGTCTGTTATTTTTTTTGTTTACGTCTCAAAACATAGTAGATTTCTATGTATGTATAACTTACATTCAGAAAATGTGAACTTTGATTGCATTTTATTCAAGATAATAACCCTGTTACAACCTTCAGAGCCCCTTATGAAGACACATTTAAGACTGCAGAATGCAGCTAATGCATTTTCCAGAATCTTTATCTCATTTCTTTATTAGCATTCACAGGTTGATTTTCCTGCTCATTAACACATCAACCTGAAGTGAATATAGTTTGTGAGTACCGGATAGGGGAGTGTTTGATGATGGAGTTATCGTTCTTACATCCCTCACTGCTCACAGGTAATCAAGGATGGAGTGGAGTCCCATCCTGGAGGAAGATTATAAATAAATCCTTTGAGTTGGCCTAATGGCAAACTCAAATTCAACTGGAAAGCTTGAGACATTTTGTTCCACTGATTCATATAATCTCCAATGTTGTCATGACTCTACAATGAAAGCTGAAATATAAGCAACTATTTTCCAGCTGCTTACTATTTTACTGTAGGAAGGAATAGAGATACCAGATAGTAAATCATTTTATATTATAAGGAAATTTATGTACAATTCAATGAGAGAATAGAATTATGCTATATTACTTATGTTACCGCACATAAAATCTTTCTGCCTCTACACACAACAAAGGAAGAAAGGGATTTTTTCCCCTGTTCACTGAAGAAATCAGTAAGAAAAATATATCCACTTAGGAAGCTGAGTTCTTCCTAAAGCAAACACCTTCATCTCTGTTACCTGCCAACATGAGGCGTAAGTGGCTGGTCCTTAAGCAATGGTGTTGGAATTAATCAGCAATGAGAGTGAGCCGTGGTCCGGCTGGTCCTCAGTAGTTCACTCCTCCCACAAAAGGACTCAGAGCTCCTCTGATGAAGAGCTGTGTTGGACCAACAGTCCCACTGAAAGTCCTGTTGGCCTCTTGACTGGACATGCTTGTGACAGCTGTCCAGATATGTAGCCACAAGGTGCAACATACTAGCTCATGGTAATATTTTATTTCAAAATGGGTTCTTTATGCACAAAAACATTCCCAACCACCAGCTTTGTGCTTCTTTATGAAAAATGAAAACAGTGGCACCTTGCTGCGTTGGTGGTGTTTCATCCCTGAAAGCTGTGGAAGCATCTCACCAGGCCTGTTTACAAGGCAAACAATAAGGCCCTTTAAAATACATTTTTTGCACTTCTCTATTCAGTAAGTCTAGGATATTTGTGATTTTTTTCAAACAGCTCTATTTTGTGAACAAAACCTTTACTTCTGCATTTTAATATCTCGCAATTCCTTTGACAGTTCACATATTTTATTGTGAGTCACCCATTTCACATTGAAACATCTGAGCCCATGGGAACTCTTGTGCAAAGAAAGAATCACGCTGACAGGGGCGTCTCTTTCTTTGTGTGTGTATCTCACACCTGACACTTTTCAGTCTAACCACCTCACAACAAAATGCTTTGGTAAAATTAGCACTAACCCTATTTTGATGGAACACAAACATAAGTTTACTTACAGATTTTTTTTAATTTGTAATAACTGTATCGTAATAGTCCATGATATTAATAGAAATGAATCTTCTCTAAAATTAGTTTGGAGACAATTGTGTACAGAAAAAATATCTTGGTAGCAATACATGAACAAGTGTATTTTTTTATGAATGACTTGTTTGTTTTACCAAGTCATCCCTTGATAGAGTCTTCATGAATGCTACGTGAAGGAGAAGCTGTGAGACTTAAAAACGGAACATTGATCAGAATAACACGTGATGCCGGCCCTAACGGAATTCGCAGAATACTCGCAGAATCACAAATTGCAAAGATGACATAGAGTTAAAGGCAATGATAATAGTTAAGTGCCGAGTCTATGGCAGATCTTGATGACCCTGGAAGATCACACCTAACCTGGCCATTGGAGAGTATGGAAAGGTTTATGCAGGGATGGAAGGACTAAGCCAGCCACTTTGAAACGATGAAGATGTTGAAAGAACAGTCCAGTCAGAAACAAAAACAGGAGCAATTTCAGGAAGATCAGAGAAAGCGAAGGGAATTCAAAAGTTGGATTTCCCTTAAACAGGGGTTTGAGAGACATTGTCACAATACGAAATTAAGGGCAGGAGACATGGCTCGGTGAGTAAGAGCTCTTGTTAGTCTTGTGATGACTGGGTTTGGTTCCCAGCACACAAATGACAGGTAACAACCTACCATAACTTTAATTCCAGGGGATCCATTGCCCTCTTCTGGCCTCTTCAGGCATTGCACACACATGCTGCACATGCAAGCAAAACAATCATATACATAAGAAATAAGTAAATAAAATGTGTTTTTTAAAAATGAAATTGTCACAAGAGGCATTGTGAATGAAAATAAGGCTGTTGAGGGAGGAGCTGGTGACTGAGAGCATTCTGGGAGGGCATATGGGGGAGGTGAGATTGGAGGCAGGAAGCCAATTAGGATATTTTAAAAATAAACTAGGCAGAAGGTGATAAGGCTTGACATTAGGCAGTGGCTATAGCAATGACGAGGGCAGATGATTAAGTCATTAATCTCCCCGACTCCAGCTTTATGCAAATTTTCCTAGAGGCGTGACCTACACCTACACCAACAGAATGCATGAATGTCTAAAGTTCTCCAGTTCCCTAATATTAAGAAATGATATTGTGTTTGAAATTCTATGAATAAATGTTGAAATAATTGCTATTTCTAAGCTTCTCCTAAGAGAAGAATGGACAGGTGCTGGTTGTACATATGGTGGTGTAATGATTACCTGGCCTCAAATGAAGCATAAGGGAGATGCTAGGAAGGAGGAGTTTCCCTTGGGCACTTAATCCAGATGCGCGATAAAGGACACCAGAAAATTGGTAGCAAGTTATCAAGATGAAGGATTGATGTAGTAGGGTGAATTACACCCCAAAGATGCTGAGGCCCTGCTTCCCCTATCTAAATCTATGACCTTCAGGGCAACAGGGTATTTACAGATTATCAGTGTAAAACGAAATCACTAGATGGGCCCTAATACAATAGGACCATTTTTCTTTTACAAAGAAGAGATTTCTACAAGAAGACAGTGTTCCAAGCAGAACACCATGCAGATATTGGAATTAAACATCCGCAAACTAAGGAACTTGAAATTATGAGGGAGGTCTTGAGCACATCCTGCTCAGGGGCTTTCTAAGGGAGTGTGGTGGGGCCTACACCTGAGTTTGGATTTCTAGCCTGGACAAATGTAAGACAAGCATGTCTGTGGCATGGTACTGAGATTCTAGCAGTGGATGGTGGTGACCCTAGAAAGCTAATCTGACCAGAGAAAACTGAGCGCAATTGAAGTGGATTTGTTGATGGAGAAGTTCTAGAGAGGAATATGCTGGTATCCCATGGCAACAGCACTTTGCTAACCAGCTTTCTAAAGCAAAGGAGATGAGTTCAATGTTTCAACTCTGGTCTGTCCATGTTCAGTGTCTTTATTATTGCAATGATTCATGGGAATGAAACATACTAAATATTGAGCTGTGCTCACAGTTCTGAACCAAATATTGGGACTGATGGCCCTCTGGACTTTCTTTTGAGGGATTGTGCCTCCTAGAATAACTCTTCCTTGGATATCTTATCTCTTAACCATCTTTCTCAAACTAAGCACTAGAAGTCTTTGTTCAACTATACTGAGGACTGTTTTAAGGCCTGGTTTTGTTAGGTGTGGGAGGTGAAGTGCCAGACCTAAGCACAGGCTGCACTAGAGAGCACAACTTCTGCCTTGAAAGCACAGCCCGCGCTTCCACAAAAGAGCCAAGCTATAATCTGCCCAGGACCTAGAGACTGATGACGCGAGCCGCCTGGATGAGGGGATCTATCAGGAAGCAACACACCAGCTTATGGGACACAGGGGGCAGTGGGAGAGATATATAAGGCCTGCCCTTCCCAGCAATAAACGAGTCTGCAGCACCTCACCTAGTGCCTGCTTCCACCCGACTCCCGGTGTCTCTGTGTTAACTCCGTACTACTCACCCCCACCTTGGCCAGAACCCTGATTCCCTGAAGTCCCTTGTGGGCTGGACCTGTGAGGAAACCTGCAACAACTGGCGCCCGAACAGGGGTCTCGGCTCCCAGGCGTTGGCAACGCCCCCAACTTTGGTTCGTTCGGTGAGTAGGCCCCGGGTTCTGTCTGTCCCTTTGGCTGCTCAAGGGTGAGCAAGTGACCCCCTCCTCTGTCCCCTCTACCCTGTCTGTCATATTTGTTGTTAAATCAGGAAGGCACACTCCGCTGCGTGGTTCTGAAGCCCACGTCATCACCTTTTATTCCTTGGCTCGTCCCGGTGAGTTCACATAAGGACTAATCCACCCCAAACTCAGAGCCCAGGCTTCGGGTCATCCTGTTGCCTTTCCCAGAGACACTGTGTGAGCATATGGCCAATGGTTTTATGGCCCTCGGAAGTCCCTCACTAAGCACAAGACATTTGGATCTAATACACCTCTTCATGTAAGGGTGGTTTATGTCCGAGTCTCACGGTCCTTGTTTGCTTCATTTGTGCCCTCTTGGTAGTCACCCTTGCCTTTTACTCTTCTGGTGCATTTCCCTTCATGGGACCTTCCCACGATGGGCAACCTACCACCACAGTGCAAGGAGCCACAAACAGCAGCGCTCAAATCACTCCTTAGAACTTGGAGACTGAAAGTTAAACCAAAAGATATTGAAAATTTCTGGGATGAGGCCACTAATTTGGCCCTTGGGTCTCTCCTGAGAATATGTGGGATCCTAACCTCTGGATGTGGGTCCTTTTCTTGGCCCGAAAAAGGGAAGTAGGATTGGGAGTCATTCCCCCTGCCTCGTTTGTCTCTATCCTTCTAGCCATCATTGCCAGCCTTAGATCCTCCTGCCCTGAAGAAGTCATTTCAGCCCACAGTAAGCATTGTCAGGATCAGGCCAGTGAAGACCTTGCCATTACTTCAACCTCCACTGACCTTGATATGGGAACCAGCCTTGAGGTCAATCCAGATGAGAAAGGGGCCCCCTCACCCCTACCTCAGACCCCACTTTCAAAGCCACAACAGAGACACCACTACCCCAGTACCCCTGGAAGGAACTATGTTCTGCCTGCTCCGACGCACTTCCCGCTCATTATAATCCCCCATGACTCGTCCACCCCTTACTGCCCCTTGCTGGCCCATGTCTGCCTTTCCAGTTAATGTCGGCCCCAACTCTTTGCAACAGCCATGGGTGCCCACCCCTCTCACATACCTTGCACTCATCCACAAAACTGCCAAAAAATCAGGACCCCATTCCCCATATTTTGAGCAAGTTTTCCGCCAATGGGCCATGCAGTTACAGACCAATTATGATTGGTATAACTTATTAAAGGCAGTATTGGAGCCCTCCATCTTCCTGAGCCGGCATTCGGCCTATGACAGTCAAGCACATTCACTCCCATAGTGGCTGACGTCCCCCACAACTTGTGGGGTAGAGATGTCCTGGAGGACATGGGTGTGGTCCTTACCACTCGGCCTACGACAGTCAAGCACATTCACTCCCATAGTGGCCGACGTCCCCCACAACTTGTGGGGTAGAATGTCCTGGAGGACATGGGTGTGGTCCTTACCACAGAGAATCAGGCTTTTTATGATGACGTCATAGCCCATGATAACCTTGACCTATCTGGGAGAAATCGGAGCCCTGACCAGCACCCCCAATTCTAAGAGCCACTGCCCTCCCTGGGACATCCCTTAAGGAATCTCCCACACCAATCACTCTTACCTGGCTCTCGAAAGATGCGATCTGTGTGGAGCAGTGGCCTGTTATAGTACCTAAGTTACCTAGCCTCAAAAATTTGGTCCAGGAACAGCTGGACCTCAGACATTTGGAACCATCCACTAGTAAATATAATACTCCAATATTCATTATTAAAAAGAAAAATGGCTGTTTTAGATTGCTTCAGGACTTATGCACCATTAATGACCAAATGGAAATAATGGGCTTGACACAGGCCGGCTTGCCCCACCCTGGCGCTATTCCTCCTTCTTATTATATCATAACACTTGACATTAAAGATTGCTTCTTCTCATCCCACTGGCCCCCCAAGATCGTGATCACTTTGCCTTTACGGTTTGGGAACCGAACTTCCACACACCGGCCCTCAGATATCAATGGAAAGTCCTTCCCCAGGGAATGAAGAATAGTCCTACTATCTGTCAGCTTTTTGTCTCATGAGCCACTTCAACCATCCCTCATAGCGGACAACTTATTCACTATATGGATGACATTCTGTTGTCCAACCGTAACCCACAATTTCTCCACAAGGTAATCTGAGACATACTTTCCTGCCTATGGTCCCTTGGCTTGTCTATCGCCTTAGCTAAGTACAGGAGGTGCCTCCTTATGCCTTTTTGGGGCATACCAATTTGTTCGGCATATGCCCTATGGCCCCTGCCTTTAATTCAAAGCTGGTCTATACACTAGCCGATTTTCAACAACTCTGTGGCACCGATAAATTGGCTTAAACCGTTCTTGCCCATTCCCTCAGAGGAACTGAGGGCACTGTTTTTTCTCTTGGAGGCCCCACCTGCCCTTCAGTAAAGATTAACTTAACTCCCCCGGCCATTGCCTTATTGCAAAAGATCATTGAGTTACTCTCATCAACAACCCTCGACAGGTATGAGCCCTTACAATCCCTACGGTCTTTAGTGCTATTGACTTCTTCTGGCTTCCTCGGTGCCCTTTGGCAGACTGGGCCACTTATCTGGGTCCATCTCTCATGCTTGGAGATCCGGCAGGTTTCCTTCAAGGT